TTTGTCCCCAGAGGGCCAGGAGATGGCTGGTTCCTGAGAGGGAGCCCTGAGGTGAGATCGATCACATCAGGAGAAGCAGTGAGGGGACAAATCCATCCAAGGGCAGGTGGGGCAGGGTGTGGGCCGCTCTCGTGGACTCTAGTTCTCTCAGGGGGAGAACTGTGGGAATTACCAAGACTTTCAAAATATAAACATTTTAGTCTAAAAATCCAAATTAACAAATCAGCCAGATGTGCTGGCCCGGGAGGCTGAGGCAGGAGGACCACTGTGAGTTCAAGGTCAGGCTGATTTACACAGCAGGACCCTGTCCCAAAAAACAGGAAGCAAAAGGCAGGCAGAAGAAAAGAAGGATAAGAAGGAAAAAACAGAACCAAAGCTTTTGTAAAGAAGGAGGGCACGAGGGCTAGGAGAAACGGTAGGGAATGGGGAAAAAATCAGATTGTGTCATGTACAGGCTCAAACTGCTTATGAGGAATGTGGTCATTACATATACCAAAAATGTACCAAGAAACGTAATTTTAAAACACCAGAAAATAAATTGATGGAAAAAATGGTGATACATGTCAAAAGAGAAAATATATAAAACCTCACTTGTTTGAAGAGCCAATTGCTGTATCTTTTCATTTCTTTTCTTTCAGTGTTTGGAGACAGGGTCTCACTGTGTAGTTCAGGCTGGACTTGAGATCATTCTGTAGCCCTGGCTGGCCCTCAACTCACTGCATTTACTCTGCCTCAGCCTCCGAGTGCTGCAATGACAGGCGTGCGCCACCATGTCCGGCTAGTTCCTGTCTTTTAAAAAGGACCACAAAGCTTTATTTACTCCATTAGACAGGAGAACAGATTTCTTCAAAATTATTAAAATGCTCAAATGACATTCTTGGCAAGCATTTAAATTTCTTTTTAAAGTTCTGGATGACAGTCTAAAAATATGTAAAGGTCTATCTATACATATACTTTCCAAAATTCTTTAAGGAGCACAGAAGAACAATATTCAATCTAGCTGTGGTGGCAAATCCTAGTAGGCCTCGTTGCTCGGAAGGCTGAGGCAGGAGGATTGGTTGAAGCAGCGGAGTTCAAAGTTAACCTGGGCAGCACAGTGTGACCCTGGCTCAAAAACAAATCAAAAAGAATTAAGGATCACTCCTTCACTCCATTGTTTTGGTGCTGTACTGCTATGTAACAAAACCTCTTCTATAGGATCTAAGGAACCTCAGGGCTTTTTCTTCCCAGGTCCCGCAATGGACTGATCAGACGTGAGGTGACCTTTATCCTGGTCTTACTTAGTCAGGCACAGCTGTGGCTGGAGGTAGGGTCACCCAGGCTAGGGGCTTCTCGGACTATAACCCGAGGGCCGGGCCAAAGCTGATCAGACAGCTGCTTTTGTAAACAAAGCTTTCCTGGAACGCAGCTATGCGTGTCCATTTACTGCGGCCCACGGCTACTATTACTCTTCCATGGCAAGTTGAATGGTTGTGACAGTGACCCTGCGTCCTGCACAATCTATACACAGACGCTCCTCATTTCACGGTGGGTCACCAAGTAAACTGGTCGCTGAATGAACTTGTAACGCACGTTGTAATATTCCAAAGACATGGTCAAGAGAACTCCAGCCTGGCGACTTCATGGTTGCTTCGTGTCCGTAATTCTTCCCTGCAGGGCTGGGATGTCAACCAGAGCATAACACCATGATCACACAGCATAACCAGCAAACTCAGCGCTGTGTACACAGGTGGACTGCACGAGACGGCGTGACGTGCCACCAAGATGTACAGGACTGCAGGCCAGATGGCCGAGTCCAGACAGCCAGTAGCCATACAGGCTATTAAACACGGCACACCTACAGCAGCCGGGCCAGGGCAGTCCTCCCAGATCATAGTTCTTGAGCCAGGGGTGGAGGTGCAAACCTGCAATCCCAGCACTTGGAAGGCTGAGGCAGGAGGACTCCACAGTGACACCTTGTCTCAGAAAAACCAAACAAGTTCTCGAGGCAGGTGGAAGCCGGAGAAACAAGAAGCCTTGGAGAGGAATCCTTAAAACAGCAGGGCTCTCAGCAGACAGGAGCCAAAGAACTTGAAGCCTCGGTCCCCAGAGCCTCCCTCAGCACGTGTCATGGGACACGTTAGGGGAGTGAGAGTCCTCTAAAGTGAGGGGCGCCTGTGCCCCTAACTGCGACGAACACACGAGGACGGTTCCCTCGCACAGGTTTCCCCTCAAATGGAAGAAAGTGGTGTGGATCCTCTGGCACTGGAGCCTCACAGGGGTACAAGCTACGCCAACAGGGAATCGTGTTATGTGTGTGCTCAGGGCTTTCACTCAGCTGCACCCCCAAACCTTTTATAGTTTTTTAAATTTTCCAACAGGGTTTCACTCTTCACTAAGAGCTCCAGGCTGGACTCAAACGGGCAGTTCTCCTGACTCAGCCTTCTGAGTAGTGGGATGACAGGCAGGCGACAGCCTCCGCTTCATGCTCTCGGCCTGGAAACGAGCTGAGGCCCAGGCACCTCCACCTGCACTCCAGAACTTTGATAAGCATTTATAACAAAACTTTTGAACCATGATTACACACATACCGGTGTCTGAGTGAATATCCAGCCATGTGCCAATATTTAACTAGAAGGCAAAAAAACAATTTTGTAGCATTCACTGATTACCCAGCTGTAATCACAGTCATCATAAAATTTGAGCCCTGGCAAGGTATGCAGAGCACCCCCGTGACCCCTGGTTCTACCTCAGGGAAAAGCAGCTATGCAGAAGTACACCCAGTGTCACCCATCCAGGGCCCTGCAGGATTTTCACAGGGGTGAGGACAGGGCCCCACAGTAACTTTGGGGAGTAAGGCTCCTAGTTAGGGTAAAAATGCTAAGTATGTCATTAAGGGGCTGAAAACAAACTGCATCTGTGTGAACATATGGAGTTTTTTGCTTTCAAGGGCAAACAACCCCCTATGACCCTCTAATAGAATTTACAAGCAATTCAATGGAAGGAGAAACGCTAGCCTTTGAAAGGGAAATCGCTGGCTGCATTCACATGTACCTGTCAAAATTAGTTTGTCACACACAGAACTGGATTTAATAAATGTCACTGCTTTTTTATAAAAGCCAAAGCCAGCAGAGCTGGAAGCGTGGCTGGGGTCGCTGGGACAGAGGCAGCCCAAGCTCACAGCAAGCAGCGCTGGGCTTGCTCCAAGCCCCAGACCCCACCCCAGGGCAGGAATTCGAGAAAAATCAGCCTCAGTGAAATAACCAAATACAAAAGTTTTAAGATGAGGCGAAACTGCAAATAGCTCAAAATAAGCAAGCATTTAAATTCTGTCACGTGGCTTTGATGGCACAGCCAACCACTAAAGTAATTTTCAAAAGAAAGACAATCTCTGAGGTTATGATGGGGAAAGGACTGAAATTCGATACAGTATGCTTCTAATTTGGACTTATAATGCCAGTCTCATGTTTGAAAACAAACTGGGAGGGAAAACATCCAGTTACCCAAACTATCTTCATGAAACAAGACTTTTTTCTTCACCTTTTGAGACAGGGTGCTGCTCCGCAGCTCAGGCTGGCCTTGGGCAGATTCTGCAGCCCCACCCTCAGCTCTCATCTCCCTGGGGCACAGAGAAAGGTACCCATCGCTGGGTGTACCCTCTGAAGCCCCACACAGCTGTTTGTGCTTTTTGGGTCTAGCACATGGCAAACCAGGTTCCATCACACTGGAGTCCTGCAGCTCAGTATCTCCACTGGGCATGTCCACCTGTGACCACAGGAGAGGCTGAGGCAGGAGAATCACCTGGAATCTGCAGGCAGCAGGGCTACAGGTTGAGCATCTGTCTCATTACACCAGTGAACAAGGTGATGCGTACGCTGAAGTGAAGGGCGGCTTTGGCTTCTCCATTCCTTGGCTTCTGCAAATGGCTGACTTTGCTTCCAGAAACTAGAAATACATGTGACTGACAACTGGTCTTGGAGCTGAGTTTTTGTGTCCAATGCCTGGGCCTTCTCTGGTACCTTAAGCACCAAGATGAGCCATCAGTGTGTTTTCTGTACTAAAAGTTGCCAAAACCAGAATTACATAAACCAAAAGCCTGTATGTTAATGTTCTGTCCTAGACTAACATCCAGTGTAAATCAGAAACCTGCATTTTATAAACCTGTGACCTAAGGCTTTTTTTTTTTTTTATCTTGACAGGGTCTCTCTATGCAGTTCAGCTGGTCTTGAACTGGCAATGATCCTCCTGTGCCTCAGCTTCCCAAGTACTGGGATTAAAGGCATGTCCGGCTAAGGTTTTCTTTCTGTTTTTTTTTTTTTTTTTGGTCTTTTTCTTTTTATCAGTACCAGGGATCGAACTCACAGACTACACACTTGCAAGGCAGGCACTTATGCCGCAAAGCTAAATCCCCAGGCCCTATCTAAGATTTTCTTTAACAGCCCCGGTTGACGAGCGTAGGTCTCCCACGCCCAGCTTTCAAAAGAACTAAGATGAGGTAAAAAGCTTTCCAGGAGACAGGTGTAGGGCCTATGGCTATAGACTCAGAAGGCTGAGGCAGGAGGACTGCCTAAGTTCAACGCCAGGCTGGAGTACGTAGTGGGGACCCTTGTCTCAAAAAAAGTAGACTATGAAAGTCATCTGTTGGGTTCAAGTTTTGGAGAGAGCCATTCTTCTCAGACGACCTCCAGGGCCACACCACGTCACCCACCAGAGATTCCAGCTACTTGGGAGGCTGAGTGTGGCAGGAGCACAAGCTCCAGGCCGCTGTGGAAGTGTCTCAGAATACAACTTTCAAGTGGGAAGGGACCCAGCTCAGTGGCGGGCATCTGCTGGCTTCTGGGCCACACAGGACACACCACAGCCAGGCCGACAGGCTACGGAGGCCGGTCATGTGCCCAAGAGTGGCCACGCTGCCCAGGAACCCACACAACCGGTGACCCTACCACCACTGCCAAAAGCAACACCGAGCACGGGGCCTGCGAAGGCCACAGACACCGAAGTGCAACACGACGACACAGAGCAGCTTTTGCATCTTTATTCCGTGAGGAGCACCGCCCCTACTTGGCCTTCTGACTCTGCGCCTGCGCCTTCAACACCTTCACCACGATCTTCTGCTCCTCGATAAGGAAAGCGCGCTTGATCCTAGGAGCAAACAGTCGGTGTGAGTGGCTTCCAGGAGCGCATGCACCCGTCATTTAACCCAGGGCCAGAGAGCGTCACGGAAAACTACACGGAGGCATCAAGGAACCCGGAAAAGCAAGCGAAACTCACAAATGCCAAGTACAAGGGAAGAGCCGAAGCTGTGGGGCACAATCAGAGCAGTGTGAGGAGGCGCTTGTAACACAGACTCACAGCGCTTCACCAGCAGTCAAAGGCCCTGGACAAAATCTGTTCTGCTGAATCCAGCTGCCCTCGCCAGGGCTGAGGCCCGGCTGCACACCCGGCTGCATACCCGAGGAGCCCTGAGCCAGAGCCACCACCTGGACCTTGGGGCACCTCGGGCTAACACAAAGGCTCTCGCTCCAATCCTGGTAAAGCCCAGGACTGTGCTCACGCTGTACGGGCCCCCTTGTTGTGTTTCTGAATTATGATAAACAATTCCTTTGTCTCAATAGACATGTTCAAGCCTGGCCTGCCTGCCAGTGCATGGCTCTCTACATGTAACCAGTTATGTAAGGTGCTGTCACCTGCTTGTGCCTTCCACCTCTGAATGCTACAGAAACTAAGCTCCCTGTAAACTGAGTGCTGTCGCCTTTGCAGAATTCTCTGACCGCTGGCACACTGCATACTGTCTTCTCTTTCCCCTGTGCAGTCTTCTTTTTGCTTTGGTTTGGGAATTTTCCTACAACAAAACCACTGGCTGGAGCCTCTTGGCCACCTTCTGGCCAGGCAGAGCCACTTCCAGCAGGGACACTGAGCCAGAGCAAGGAGCCCTCCTCGTCTCTCCTGAGAGCACCCACAGGCGATGATGCCCCAACAGCAGCTTCCACTTGACCTCATTATTAGGATGCAGGACACACAGATAGAACTTGATCTGCCAAACATCTCAGAATGTTTAACTACATTATAAAACCAGCCATGCACTTGGAACTAAAATTAACTAAAGGAGGCAGGGCCCGATAGTTTATCTCAATACAGTTGTAACCACCAAGTTGAGGTCCAGCGTCTGAGGCCTCCATCGTGCTTGGGACTTGTCCTTGGAACCTAACTAATAACTGTTCACAGACACTCCTTGGCTGCTGGGGTACAGAGTGTACCCCAGATTCGGCTCAGGCAGATTCGCCAGCATGCCCGCATCTTACCAGGTACCACATGCTGCTATCTCCTGTTCTTGCTTTTATTCTCCTTAAAGGCCCAAGATGCAGTCAAAATGCCCTGCACCTTCTAAGGCTTTAGTTATACAGTATTTTAGTAAATAAGTAACTGTGGGAGACGAAGCATACTTACAGTTTAAACTACAAAAACAGGTATTTTTTTTTTTTTACACTGTATCTGAAATTTGCATGTTTTCTGTAGTTTGTGGGTGCTCTGGGAATGCAAGCCCTGGAAACTCAGGGCTCCACTGCAAATGTTTCCACATCACTGGGATGGATCCAAAGACTGAACTCAGACTCCACCTCCAACGCTATGTGCGTCTCCCAGCCACCTGAGAAGGAACTTCTGAACTTGCCAGTTCTGTCCTTTGTCCCTCACGAAGTCCCACAGACCTGAGCAGCTCTCACAATCTACCTTAAGGTGCAGTGCTGTGCGCAGCTTGGCTTGGAAATGCAGCTATGTCAGCCAGAATCGAACTACTACTCTGAACCAATCTCTCCACCACGAAGAGGCAATCACAGTCTCTCGAGTCCCTCTTAGGAGGGAAACCGATGGGGCCAGGATAAACCTGGACTTGACTACTGCACCGCTCCTTTTTTTTTTTTTTTTTTCCCAAGAAATGGGAACAGAAACTCCTCCCAGGCAGACCTGTGGCATGGCTGAGAGGCTGCACCAGTCCCACTGTCCTAAAGCCACCTCCCACCTGGACACGCGAAGACCTGACCTCTCCTGACCTGCCCCACTCAGCCATCTCTCCCAGGCAAATGCTACTTCCTTACCCTTCCAAGGAGACACACCCACCTCTCACTGAACATTCAAATGGCTTCACTGCTCGCTCTGTACATCTAATGCACTGAAGTTCTTTGCAGGGCTGGAGATTCATCATTTCCCACATATTAAAGAACCAAGCTAACTAAATGACACTGCTTCCTGTGGAAGGCAAGCCCCTCATAACCCCACTTCTGTGTCTCCCTCCTCTGCGCCAGACTCGCCACATGCTGCTCCGTTCCCACACTTTTAAAGCCTCGCACCCTCCATTTACCAGGATCTAATTACTGACAGATTCCTTTTTGCCCTTTTCCCCTACAAAACCAAAGTCCACTTCCGGTCTAAGAATGCGCCCACCTCCTGACCTAATTCACCTGAGCACCATTTACTGCTCCGCACAGCAGTGCTTATCCTCAGTTGAGGAAGGGCTTTCAAACAGGCAGGGTGTTTAGAAGCAGCTACTTTCCCCGTCTCGGGGGACGCCGGGCACCCACGCCTCCTTGTGACTCAGGAAGCCAGTGCAGCTCACACTCGCAGCTCACCTGTCCCGGACACACTTGGCACACATGGAGCCCCCGTAGGCCCTGCTGACGTGCTTCTTCGTCTTAGACAGTCGCATGAGAACTTTAGGTCGCACTGCACGAACCTGGACAAGGAAAACACGGGATTGTCTGGTGGTGCTTTAACACAAATGCCCAAGGATTTCAGAGGCAATGCAAATGTCAACGCGGATCCACAGGGAACAGGGATGCCGCTCATCTCAAACACACTGTACTCCACTGAGCTTAGTAAGAAAAGGTCCATGTTCCTGGCACCTGCATCTTGCATGCTCAGTAATTCTCAGTCATCTCAGTGGTGACTTTTGACACATTTCTGTCACACAAACCCTACTCTCATCATGAAGGGTCACTCACCCCTCGAAGTCTGCCTGGGCACACACCACACGCGGACTTGGGGGCCTTGCCAACCTTCTTGGTGTAGAGGTAAACAATTCTGTTCCCTGGGGTTCGGGACCTAGAAGGAAAGCAGAAAGGCTCAGCATTCTATAGAACAAACAACAACACTTACTTTAAATCTGGAAATACTTACAGTCTAGTTTTGTTAGAGGCTGTGTTGTAGGACAGCCTACGGCGGTAAGTCAGGCGCTGGACCATGGTGAAAGCCTAAACTAAAAATGAAAAAACCAAGTTTCCCGTTACAAATTCAATGTGAAATTTAAAGCATTTTCACATAATTTTTTAAAAACTGAATGACTTTTTAAGGAATTTCACATCGATTTAACACTCAAGGTCACTTTGATGAGGTCTCTGTGTAATTCATATAACACCCGTATAGTCTTACACCACGCCCACATATATCTTGTTTAACACAGTCCCACCGCTGGCACCACTCACTTGTGGTACACGCATTCCTGCCCCATTGGGCAGCTTTACCACTGTAAGTAGACATCGGATCACTTTTATCAAAGGTTTTCTTACAAATAAAATAAAAAGCGCCCCGAAGAGACAATCATGCATGTAGCACCAGTCTCAAAAGAAGTGCATGAGGACTGGGAACATAGCTCAATGAGTGTTTGCCAAGGTACTGTGAAACCCTAGGTACAAAGCAGCCCCCCAAATAACTAACGGGAGTAGCGGTGGATACGAATGCCAGTTTTCTTGGTGGCAACCAAGGGTGGCACTTAAGTTTGCAAAGGTGTCCAAAAAGGGTCTCCCTCCCAAGCGAGATGGGGAACCGCCGGGCTCTGAAGCTGAACGCTCGGCTGTACTATTTACTGGCCATACAATCTGTAAGTAGCTAATTTTCCTCCCCTAATTTATGGTTTCCTCCCATCTGATTTCCACCGCTGCCATCAGCATTAAACGCCCCGGCCTCACCCGCCCCGGCGCCCGGATCGCTGCCGGTCGTCCGGGACTGCAGGTCTCCCTCCCCAAGCGGCTCCGAGTCCAGGAAACCTGCCGCTCTCTATGGCCCACCGCGCTGCGGGACCCGAGTCTCTGCATTAACGCGGCCGTTTCCGCCCGTTCATAACACGCTGGTGTTTTTACTGAGCAAACAGCGCTATCCGACCTCAAAACTGACAGAGACCAATGGGCCAAGAGGCCGCCGCGCGTGGCACCTCGCTGGAGGAAGCCCCTAGACAAGCACGCCTCTCCTCCGCCCGCACCCGGACTGCAGCCCCAAGCCTGATGACGTTTGGCACCGCGGTGCGAAACGTGGGCGCCAAAATCTGAAAACGCTCGGGGACTCCCCGGTCTCAGCGGCCGCACCACGACCCGCTCCGTCTCCTGACGCCGCACTGAGAAGGCGGCAAAGCCTCGGTGTGAGTTCGGCTCCTCAACGCATCGCAAAGACTGCCAGGGTTAAGCGGTTTCCGAAGCTAAAGTTGAGGAAGTGCTCACCAGCCGCCTCCCGCCTACACCCCTTGGCCTTACGCCGGCTCAAGAACTGTCCCCAAGAACATCCAGCTCCCGCAACGATTCGGATGGCGGGGGATTACAAATAGAGTTAGACAGGGACAAGAAATGCACAGCCATACCAGTTGACACGGCCCCCGGAAGAGGAAAAAGGAAGTGGTTCCAGTTCAAAGGCCAAATAGTACTGCGCAGGACAGGAATTACGTCAGAACCAGCGGCCTACCGGTCAGAGCGCCGCCATGTGTACGGAAGGCGCGGGGTTGCACAGCACCACCATATTGTACGGAGACCTCCGAGCGCAGCAATTTGGCCTGCCAAATGCAGGAGAACGTACACAAGGATCTTTGGGGAATCTGTGTAGAAGCAAACACAAAACAGGAGAGGAAAAGAGCAGAGGCGAGACAAAAAGAAATAAGCTCTTTTTTTGAGACAAGGTTTTGATATATAGTTTAGGCTGTCCTGCAACACTGGACAATCATCCTGCCTCAGCCTCCCGAGTACTGACAGTACAGATGTGCGCCACCATGCTCGGTTTAACTCCTTTGATTTTCTTGAGCTTTACGACTAGCTGGTTCTGGGTTTGCACCCTATGGGGATACCCCTTAGGTGATCTTCCAGGACCTTCCCTCTGCTCTTTTGACATTTATTCAAAGCACTGATTTTACAATCAAACGAGGGTGTTGGTCTAGAATCTGCTGATTACCTGCTGTGTTACTTTTGCACAAGGAAGATGGCAGCGAGAACCCGGGAATGTGATGTCCTGAGGTGAGACGGCTGAGCACAGCGTCCTAAGGACCTGCAGTTCTGCGGCCGAGGAGGCTCCCTGAGCCTAACCGCTCGGGGGGATGCTCTGGACACTCCTCCTCTGGGTGAGGACTGAGCCGACTGCGCGCGGAGCCCTGGCCAGCCTGCTTTCCCGAGCGCCCGGGACAGCGAGGTCCCGCCGCACCCCTAGAGCCGAGACCCACGCGCGTTCCTGCGCAGAGACCGAGGAGAGCACCCCGGAGGCGCGACCTGCCTGCCTCGGCCTCGTGCCCGCGCCGGCCCGGACTCTGCTCTTTGTCGTTTGCGATCCTTTTCGTGTGGGCGCCAGGTCGTGGGCTGGAGGCTGGTGGAGCCGCACAGGCGACTTTAGGTGCACCAATGAATGAATGCGTCAATGCATGAATACGCGAATGGAGGAATGCACGAGTGAATGCTTGCGTGAATGAACGTGTGCCTCACCTGGGATCCCTCCCACGGTGCTGGAGCCTTGGCTGTGGCTGGTCCTGCTGAAGGCCCTGGGCACCCGGCTGCGCCCGCCCGCGTCCTGCCCGCTCCTCCCCCGGATCTCTTCACCCAGAGCTCTAGGGTGAGCCTTTCCTCTTTCCATCTGAATCTACAATTTTTCGTCACCACTCTTCCCAGACATATGGCGACCTCACTGAAAATCCCAGACTTCATTTATAGTTTATTAATCTCTCTTTAGTTCTCTGTTCGTTAATTTTTATGTGCATGTACAGAGGATTTTATTTTTATTTTTATTTTATTTTATTTTTTGGTACTGGGGATGGGACTCAGGGCCTCACGCTTGCCAGGCAAGCGCGTACACCACTGAGCTAAATCCCCGGCTGAGTAGTTTATGAGAAATTAAGATAGACTTAGCTGACTTTTTTTCCCTTTGGTACTGGGGATCGAACGAACTCATGACCTCACACTTACCAGGCAGGTGCTGTGCCTAGCTCAGACATTTTGAGGTCTAACATACGTTTACTGAAGGATTTTTAAATATATAGGTATTTAGTTTTAGTGTGATTAAATTCAGCGATGTTTTCTGAATTTGTGCGCCTGGTGTCACGTTTTAAAAGTCCATTTTTGGTCTGCAGGTCACGTGATGCCGAGGCCCTATTGACCGGAGGTATCAGGGCCTCACTGTATGAGGACCTGACAAGATCGCTGCTGCAGGTACAGGGGAAGGGTCTTGGATTTGATTGACGCTGCGTGGCGAGAAGGCAGCTGCCTTACGAGGATGCTGCAGTACCTCGGAATGCACTTTCCGAACCCGAACCAGATGGTGGTGGCGCCACAGGATCTGAGAAATGCAGTGGGCGTGGGAGACTCACTGCCTAGGGGAAACACTCCTGGTTTCTTTCTCGTGGATGAATCCTTCAAAAATATGTCAATACAAAATGTTTAAAATATTCATTTTTGCTTCAAAGTCTATAAGTATCTTCTAATATTTTAAAGCCTTACCTTGGATTCATTTGGAGTTTTATCTTTCTCTGTAGACAGTTGGTAATACAATTTTCCTTCTAGATGTAAGACCACTTTTCAACTTTATTTAATATCGTTACACTGTCACCTCTTCCCACGCCTATCTGATATTCCCTGTGTCTTTTATCAAAGTTCTGAACCCTCGTTCCATGGGTCTGCGGACCTCAGAGTTCCCCGCACCGTGGATCTGGATCTGGCTTCCTAGTCTCTTTCACTGGTCACTTTGACTTCTTTCTCAGCTCCACATTTTCTTAACTCATTAGTAAGCTCTCCTCTCAGGAAGGGCACATAGATATCGCCTTTCCTTTATCTGTAGAAGGGAAGTTCTTGACTGTTTCTTTTCCAGATACATTTTAAAATCAGCTGGTCTGAATTTTGTCTGTATTTGCATTAAATATTTGCATCAGTTAGAGAAGAACTGACATTTTAGCAGAAGTTTCGTAACTTATCTCTCCATCTGTGTAAGTTCTCCTTTGGTGTCCTTAATAAAGTTCTATGATTTTCTGCAGGGATCTGCATGGCTTTTGTTAGATTCATTTCTAACTACTTGGCATTTTCTGATTCTATTTTAAAAGGTGTCATTTATTTATTTATTATTTGGGGGGTTTTGAGACAGGATCTCGATCTACAGTCTGGGTTGGCCTTGAACTCACTGTGGAGACCAGGTCAGCCTGGAACCCGTGGCACTCCTCCTGTCTCAGTCTCCTGAGTGCTGGGATCACAAGCGGGTACCAACACACCCAACTAAATGGTGTAATTTTACAATGACTTCCAGTTGATACACAGAGATGTTATTGATTGTAGATTAATTTTACTTTTAGCCATCTTTATAAATTATGATAAATTATTCTGTTATTTCCAGTACTTTGTATAAAGATTGCTATTGGATTTTTTTTTAGGACTAATTTTTACAAAAATTTTTGAGACAAAGTATCACTAGGTATTTCAACCTGGCCTTGAACTCACTATGTAGCCCAGGCAGGCCTCAAATTCACAGCGATCCTCCTGTCTCAGCTTCCCAAAAGCTGGGGTTGTAGGAGTGTGCCACCACTCCCAGCCTCAGTTTTTTAGCAGGTGACACACACCTGTAATCCCAGCACTGGGGAAGCTGAGGCAGTAGGGTTACCAGAAATTGGAGGCCAGTTTGGACTATGTAGTGAGTTCAAAGCCAGCTTGAACAACATAGCAAGACCGTGTCTAAAAAACCAGAAAAGAAAAAAAAGTTTCTAATTCTTTAGAAGAAGAATTTCAAAATATCTGCCTAAACAGTGAGCAGTATACAGCTTGTTCAGTTTTCACAAACTGGACACGCCTGGCCCAAGCTGGTATCAGCGGCCCTCCAGCGGCCCCCAGGCCCTGCTCCCGCCCCTCCCCCAGTATGACCACAGCCCTATTTCTATGCTCCTGTGTAGTATTCTCCTTTTTCTGTGCTGTCTGAATCGAACACTTCTTTGCATTTGGGTTCTTTCATTCAGTCTCAGGGCTGTCAGACTCATCGTGGTTCATTCTTACTGCTGTGCACTCCCACGAAGCCCCTGTTCTTCAGAGGGCTCTGGTGGCGTCCCAGTCTGGGCTCTTCTGAAAGCGCCCCATGAACATTAGTACGCTCGGTTTGGGGTGAAGATAACGGTACACATTCCAGTAGAGTATGTGCCTAAAAGTGGGGCCAAAGGACCAAAAGGTGTGTGTGTGACAGTGACTTTGCAGAGCCATCACATTAAGGTGACAATCGGTTGACCCAGCTGAAGCCAAGTTAGGGGGGAGGGGGCGAAGGAAGGGGCAGGGTACCAAGCCGTCCATGCAGAATTCCTGCTGCCGGCTGGTTTTCCTTTGAGTTCTTCCTTCTTTCCTTCCTTCCTCCTTTCTTCTCTCTGTCTGTCTCTCCCCTTCTCTTTCATCATCTAATGAGAAGTAAAAACAAAACCTTTAGAGGGAATTTATCTTATTTCCTTAGCAGTCCTCTGAAACCTTTTGTCTTTTCATTTTGATTCACTTGGTTTCACTCTGATATACTTAAGGACGTTTCTCTTTTTATCTTTTTTTTTATTCACGGAGACTTCGAAATCCTTATCTTAAAGCCTCTTATGGATTTTAGAAAGTTATCTGTTCACGTACTGCCTTTCTTGCTCCGAGGTTTCAGTTGAACACTGTATTCATATCACTGTATCTCTAGATCTTCTGATTATCAATTGCTATAGAACAAACTATTGAAAATTGCATGTCATCTGCGTTAGTTCATCTTGCCACGGTTAATCTTGTCTACTAAACTGGCTTGGGAATGGTCTAGGTAATTAATAATAGCACACTTCTGGGTGTGTCTGGAGGTCATGGAAGTGTGGCCTTGGGGTCTGTGTCGGCCCCTGCCCTGTTTTCTGGCTGCCATGAACTAAGCAGCTTTGTTTACCGCAGCCTTCCGCCATGGTGTTCCTGCCTTGGACCCAGATGAGCATGGACTGAATCCTCTGGAACAGTGAGCCGAAGCTGAGCAGTACAGTACGATCCTGGGTCCCACGGTCACGAATTTCTATAGTAGTGGGAATGGTTTGTTTTTATTGAATATGCAAAGATCCTCAGTGGGGATGGGAGACATGAACCACTGGGGCATGTTAGGGTTCTCCAGAGACACAGAACCAAAAAGTTATTTACCTTTTTATTGATTGACTCAGTATAGGAGTTGGTTGTGATTGGGGAGGCGACAGGTCCTAGGACTGCTGTGAGTGGGAGAGTCAGGAAAGCTATCGGAATAATTCTACTCAACAGCGCTGGGCAACTTAGTGACTCAGTGAGACACAAAAAAATGAGCTTGGGGTGGGGGAGGGGAGAGGTCCCAGGAGAAGCAGTACATTCGCCCACAGTGTTTCCTTCCATGTCTTCCGTTCATTGGCTGGTGCTCACCTGCACTGGTGAAGTGGATCTTTTTAATTTGGTAAATTGATTTCATTAACCTCTTCTGGAATCATCTTCAGAGACACACCCAGAAATGGCATTTTTCCAGCTATCTGGGCATTGTTTAGTCTGTCAAAGAACACAAAAACTAGCCAGTACAGAGGATCACTTGAACTCTATGGGGGGGGGGCGGCAGCTGGGGATTGAACCCAGGGCCTTTCCACTGAGCTGCAATTCAGCCCATTTTATTGTATTTTACTTTATTTTATTTCTTAAACTGGTGATCCTCCTGCCTCAGCCTCCCAGAGTACTGGGATGACATGTGTGTGACACCAGGCCTGGCTCATTTGAGTACTTTTAAACGTAACGCCTGAGTTCAGTGCCTTAGCTCTCTGTAACTGTCAACCAGCACCTCTGCACCTACATTTCCACCAGGCTTAGCGTTCTCAAGAGTGTCAGTGTGAGGCCACGCTGGGTCTGGGACAAGAACATCAAGAAATCAGTTTGATCTTCCTGCAAGTCCTGCAAACCAGGCGGTGCCCAGGAAGAGAGAAGCCAGATTGCCTTTCCAGCGCAGCTGACCTCCCCCCGCCCCCAGCAACCAGCTGGTTTGGAGGACAGGTTGTTGATAGCAACTAAGGTACCAAAACAGCTAAATGCTTGTACTGTTTGACTGACTTTGCGTGACCAAGGCCAGCGGTCAGAGCATCTATTAGGAGGGTGACTATGCAAGATGGCAAGTATGGGGGGGTTCCTTCTATCTTGTTTTTGAAACCAGTATTATTCTCAGTGTTTTGCTTTGTTCCGATTTATTGTTTTGTTTTATTCAACGCTCAGTTTTGGTTGGTTTTATTCCGTTTTGTTTTACTTGATTTTACTGTGTCTGAGGGAACGGACAGCTACTGTGAAGAGAACAAGATACACTACGGTAGCCAGTGCTGATCTCCTGTTATCCTGCTTCAAAGTTCTGTACCAATTTTGCTGCTTTAAAAAAATAAAAATAAAGAGTGTCAGTTTGGCTCTGGAAGGGGGTTTTGGAGAAGGAGCCTCTAGTGGGCAGCATCAAGGGGCCCCCAGAAGCTGGCCAGAAGTCACACTGCACACGCCTATCCAGCCTTCAAGTCTGTCGGGAGCCCTCCCAGAATCAGAAGTCCTCCCGACGCGGTATTATTCTGGATACAGTCTCAGTGATTCTGGCATTGTAGTGTATTCTTACTGTTTGCAGTACGGGGTATCAAACCTGGGGTATGCTAAGTAAGTGCTGCACTGCTGAGCCACAGCCCAGACGCTTTAGCTTTTATTTGTTTGTTTTGAGACAGGCCTTGAAACTGGTCTTGAACTTGTGATCGCCCTGCCTCAGCCTCCAGAGGAGGCGGGATTCCAGGCTTACACGGCCGAGCCAGTCCAGCCGGGGTTTTCCCCGAAATGTCATCCACACATCTGACCCCTGCTGTCCTCAGGCCTCCTGTGCAGCGCATGCGCGCTGGCTGACACCTCAAAGACAACATCAAGCGGTGGCGCAGGAGTCGGGCCCTTCAGCCCCGTTCCTGACCTCAGCAGGAGCGCGTCTGTCGTTTCTCCATGAAGTCACCTTTTGAGAAGATAGCCAAGGTCGCCTTTGCTTCTTCTTAATTTTCTTTACACGTTTGTTGTGCGCATCGAGCCCGTAAATTTCTTTCGCTTTTCTGCTAAGACGCCAATTTGGGGTTTCTCTGCGGGCTATCCTGAGGGTTGGGTGCTCCGCTAAGCTGCGCAGAGGTGCAGATCCGTCCGGCGCGGTCTTGCTTTCTTTCCGCCTTTGCTCAAGGTCACCTGTGAAGTCTTCGGGTTGTGCACTACTGCCCCCCTCTGGCAGCCCTGGTCCCCCTTCCTGTTCCTATTTTCCCACACTGAGCACTTTCCAAGGGCCTTTGCAGTCAGCTGTATCCTCTGTCACTTTTTTATCTTTTATTTTATGATAGAATCTCATGGAGTCCCTAAGTTGCCCTTGTTGGGGTTGAACTTGCAATCTTCCTGCCTCGGCCTCCCAGGGTACTGGGATTACACTGCACTCAGCTCATGTCTGTTATTTTTAAAGGTTATGGTTACAGTCATTGAGATATAATAAAGAGATGGAAAGATTTTTATCATTGAACTTTTTGTTTGGAGACTAGGTCTCACAGTGTAGCCAAGGCTGGTCTTGAACCTGCAGTGATCCTCCTGCCTCGGCCTCCCAGAGTGCTAGGATTACACTGTGTGCAGCTGTGTATATTATTTCTACATCCCATGGTCTGTCACTGTTGAACCTCTACACTTTGTGTCAAGCATGGGCCCCATGACTGAGCCCCAGCCTATAGTGCACCATGAATTGATGCATTTTATTTATCCTATGAATGTTCATGAGTGGCTTGATTATATTTACATACACTCAACTTTATGCGTTAAAAGTTCTGATGCAAAGTGACTATTTAATACACGTCATGGTTTTGGTGAGCTCGTTAGAACCCGTTTCCATTTGAAAATATATTGGGAATCTGGAGAAAGCTTCCAGGCGCACCCCCCACTCCCCAGCAACTCTTGGCCCTTCCATAAAGGTATTGTCAAGACTTTCATTGCTTTGTTTCCTTGAGCTGGGATCTGCATACAATGTTGGCTACAAGAGTTAAAAATATCAGAGCATTTTTTAACGTTGTAAATTTTAGAAAGAGGAACTTGAGAACAAATTAGATTTTTCTAATAGAAATGTTCTGAGCTGAAAGCCCTAAAGGGGAGTAAGGAAACCAATTAACTTTAATTTAAATAATCATGTCTTAAGTAGCAAATGAACCAAGTTCTATTGTTAGAGAACAACTGTACCAAATCCCCCAGAGATTTGTCCCAAAAAGGCGGCGGGCTCGTATCTCCCTAATGGAACCCGGTTCTGCTGGCTGCAGTCACCCTTGTTTGTGGCTGCCCTGGACGTCATTACGGAGAGCACAGGAGCAGAATGATGCAGAGATCAAGGAGAAATAATTGCAGAAACTCCCATCGATGTTCCTATTGTTGGTAACTTGTTCTTTTAGGAGCAAGAAACAAAACGGCCCCTACATTTAATCCTGGGAAAATATAGTTTAAGAAAATGCAAGGCAAGCTTATTGTCTTATTCCAAAACCTTTACATGGAGTGTATGATTTTCTGTTTCTACTTGCTATCTAAAAATAAAATACTTAGGGTGACTGAGGTCGCTAGTTTTTGTTTGTTTGACACGGTGTCTCCCTGTGTAGTCCAAGCTGGCTTTAAATTTAGTTAAGTATCCCAGGCTGGCCTCTGACTCTCTCCCATCCTCCTGCCTCAGCCTCTCAAGTGTGGAGCTGACAGGTGTGTGCTACGCATCTGGCAACTGAGATCACTACTGCTATTTTAGACACAAAACACTGTATCCATAATGACTGAATTTCTGTGGGTGTCTCTAAACATTAAAACAACCATCAAAACTACATTAACGAAGTTCCTAATATTGATCAGCCATGGAAGACAGGCCCTGGACTCTATATGGGTTAATGCCTGCAGATCTATTTTGCCTTTTTTTTTTTAAAGGCAGATTCTTGCCATGTAGTGCAGACTGCCCTTGAATTCAAGGTGAACCTCCTTCCTCGGCCTCTCACCAGGCTGGAGATCTATTTTTTAATTAATTAATTATTACTATTATTTTTTGCAGCGCTGGGGATCAAACCCAGGGCATTGTGCATGCAAGGCAGGAGCTCTACCACGGAGCCACATCCCTAGGGATCTATTTTGGATGAATTAACACAGGAGAATCTGTCAGGGGTGGAATCCAGATCACACTGTATTTCTCTTGCACCATTTCTTCAGATCTCTTTCTCCTGTTCCACCCCTTTGTGACCTTTGGAAAGGGCCTGACCCCACCAGGGTGCCCTGCCTGTGGTGTGGGGTGAGAATCCTGAATCTGGGAATCCTGGAGCATTAATACTGGTGCTGTGTGCCAGATGGCCGGAATGCAGTACATGTTGGGTAGATGCTGGTCTGATTCTCATTTTCGGAAATGAAGTGTCGCTGTCCTTCACTGACCAGTTTCCTACCCCAGGTCACATTTAGTCCCTTCCTAATGCTGCTGTGTTCTTGGGGGGGAGAGGTTTTTATTTCTCTGTGATAGTTTTGGGAAGTCCAAAATAACTGCTCTAGAATTTATTAAAATGGGAACTCGGGTGTATGGACAGAAGAGGAAAGAAAAACTTAAAAGAGTCTGCCTACCCCCACCTTGACTTGGGGAGATACTTTCTACCCTGACTGCAGTCAGTGCCTGGGGGTGGGGGGAGACACAACAGGACCTACATCTTTGTCCATTATTTATGCAAATGAAAAAGCCAGTTGCTTGCCGGGAAAGGCTCGTTGCAATGACGCTGCGCATTTCCATAACTGCCTGTTCCCAGCCGAGCTGTTTTGCACCAAGGGGAGCATAATTTTGTAGAGCGCTCCCCTCCCCCACCCTCCGAAGTACATAATATCATGTTTGTGTTGAAACTTTTTCTTCCCAAATGCCAGCGCCCGCGCACGAAAGAGAATTAAAATCCTGTTATTTTAATTTACATCTAGCCACAAGATAAGTAAAGTTATCATTGAAATTCTAATTAAATGGGATGATTGACTAAGGTAGCACATCAAAGAGGCGAAGTGAATATGCTAAGTTGAAGACTTATTAATTAGTCTGCGTGGAAGAAATTCCAGGATGTCAAGCTGCGCCCGCTGCAAGGAGAGAAACAGCGGCCGAGAAAACGCTGCTTCTTTGAAGTTGGGAACCGAGATAGCGGCGGAGGTAATTGCGGCTGACTGCATCCAGTAATGAAGAACCCTAAATCAGACCCTGGAATCGCGGGAAAGATTCGGGACCGACGGCGGCCGCCCCCTGCCGCGAAGAAACAGAATGCGGAGCGCGCTAATTGACCAGCCTATTTCCCAGTAGTTCTCAGTTATTATTTATTAATTTTTAATTTCTGAATTATTTACATCCTGGGAAATTATTCTTGACAGCCTGTTAGGCGTGCCAGAGTTAATGGGGGATGGAAGGACTGGAACCAGAATTAGCAGGGATATAGTCACAGGCTCCTGGATTTAATGATTTGGGAAAGAAAAATTGATTTCACACAGCGTGTCACTTTATACTACTTTAGGGATACACCAGCTATTTGATTAATTGAGGAATAACCAATTCAAAGTATATTTGAAGTGTAAATGAGTCACAGCGCTCAGCTGTTTACTTTTCTCCTTTCTGAGAGATCTGAATTTTCTTGAAGCCGATGATTAAAAGCGGATGGAGAAGCTCTTACAGGCTTTGAACGCACACCTGTTTGACTGTGTTAAACTCAGGAGCGAGGGAAGCCCTGAAATCCAAGAGGAGGTGTTTCTACTTTTCTTCTTTCTCTCTTTTGATCTCTTTATGCTCTCCTCCCCGCCTTCTGTTTTCTGAGACAGGGTCTTGTTCAGTACTCCAGGCTGGCCTTGTACCCCAGGCTGGCCTTGAACTCACTGTTAGCTCAGGGCAGTGGCTGCAATCCGCATCCCTTAGGACAACACCTTATTTACTCCAAGCTCATTTACTAATGATGAGAGGGAGTCCCTGCAAGACAACACTGAGAGGAAGGGATGACATCAGCACAAAAGCCAAGGGCACTGGTCTGTCTGGGTACTGAATGGGACAAGGACTTCCCCCAGATGGCTCTGATGTCCCGCTGCCACCACCCGTTCTCACGTCCTGATCTTATCCTCTGACTGGGAGGCTGGGGGCAGAGATTGCATTTCTCCAGGGACCCAGGTGGAGCTCTGCCTGCTGGTCCCTGATCATTCATTGAACGGCACCCTGATTCCACACTCTCACATCCTGTATTCTGGCTGTGGGGGAGGCTGAGGCAGGAGGATCAAAGATTTAAGGCCATCCTGGGCTACCGAGTGAGATCTTGCCTCAAAATAAAATGAACGAAAAGGACTGGTGATGTAGCTCAATAATAGAGTACTTACCTAGCATGAGCCAAGGCCCCGGGTTCAATCCCCAGCACCTCCAAAATGAAAACAGCCAACGTGCTGACAAATTCACTTTCTGAAGAACAGTGCTTTAGGGGCTGGGCATTTAGCTCTGTGGCATAAGCGCCTGCTTGCAAGTGCGCAGTCAGGAGTTTGATCCCTGGTACTGATTTAAAACAAAACAAAACAAAAACCCAGTGCTTTCAGGGCTGGGCTGTGGCTCAGTGGTGGAGCAGTGAATGGCCTAGCGTGTGTGCAGGTGGCCCTGAGTTTGCTCACCTAAGGTGACCCCTATCCCCTCCTTCTGGGAGTATCCTATTCTTCCCCATGGTGTGCTGTTATTTGTCTGCTGCTTCTTCCCAAACGGTGGGGACTCTACCAGGGTGTGTTTCAAACACCAGCGCCCTGAGGCTGGCTGCTCTAACCTTCCCCCACCCGATGGGGCGTCCTCTCTTTGCACCCTTTCTCCTGTAACGCTTTACCCATATTTTGCTGTCTGTCGTCAGTCTTACCGGTGCACCCAGATCTCCCTATTTACAGGGGGCAGGAGTGTCACTGCCTGGGAGAGGGTGCTGCCTTCTCTCGGTGTCTCCCCCAGGGTAGGAGCAGGGCGCAAGGCCTGCGTAAGAGCTCGGCTGCAGAGTCCTGTGAGAGCCGGCAGCACAGGGTTCTGCTCTGTGAACTTGTTGCATCTTCAAAGGAGCTCACAGATTCTGGTCTTTTTGATTTTAAAATTGTTATTCATGGACCATTTACTCATTGACTCAAAGGCTTGGAAGGTTCTATCATAGCAGGGTAGTGAAAGGGCAGAGAATTTGCAAACAAAACAGTTGTCTCCCCCAAATGCTGGTGACCCATGCCTCACCCCCAGGCTTTTATGTCTTGTCCTGTGATGTTTATATTTCCTTGCTCCAACTCCAGCATACAAATTACTTACCGAATAATGTAGTCACCTTTGAAAAAGCAAAGTAGTTCTTGATAATTTCTGTAACTCCTGTAGGCCCACGAACCCTTATCCCAGAATGTGGACCTCCATGAACCCTCAGGGACTTTCTGCCGTGTCTGCACTTTGCAGAAATCATTCTGCTCTCCAACAGATTTGAAAAGGCACGGAGCCTCGGCTGCTCACCCATTATCTCTGCTTCCCAGACCCTTTTCCAGCATCATAAACTGTCGCTGCTACCTGTGCTGCTCTGCTAGGGCTCCACTACTGTCATTTGGATCTGGGGTGTGCACCCAAGAAGCATGTGTGGAAGGCTTGGTCCTTAGCTGGCGGGAGTCTTAGGAAGGTGGAGGGACCAGCAGTAGGGAGTAAGTCCCTGGGGGGACATTCTGGGCGCTGTCTTCTCCTGACGCCTTCCTCCGTGACGTGAGTAGCTGTGCTGTGCCACGATGCTTGGTCTAATAGCAATGGAACCTGCTGATTGTGGACTGAAACCTCTAAACCGTGAGCCAAAATAAATCTGCTTTTAAACTGATTTCCTCGGGTATTTTGTCACAGTGAGCAAGAGCTAACACACAAATGTGCTCCACTCCAAATCATGTTTGAGTTCGTTCTCCGTTTCCTTCTCTTCTTCTCTGTGTTTCTGCTCTTTACCCTACCCTCTAATTTCCGGCTTTCACTCCTGGGGTCTACCAAGTGCAGAGGGGAAAAGCACTTTTAGGAACTTCTAATTTTATAATTACTATAAAGACTCAGTAAAGGCAAAACAAACAAACCGTGTCAAGCAACTGTGTCCTAAAGAGTGATGGGGGTGTCTAGGGCACTAACTGCGTCCAGTAGTGAAGGAGAGAGGCGATGGAGCAGCTGTGGATCATAAGCAGAAACGGGGAGAAGGAGGCAGGCTCCTAGGGGCTGAATTTAGGAAGGTGAGTGCCTGGGGTTTTTATCAGTTTTTTCTTTCAGTAGATTCAAATAAAAAAAAAAAAAACCCAACCAAAAAACTTGGCAAAGGAAATGAATAGACACCTCTCAGTAGGGGAAGTCCCATGACCAATACACAGGAAACCTGGTTCAGCATCTTTAGCCACTAGAGAAATCGAAGCCCCTGTACCCCGGTGGACTCCAAAAGCAACAGATGCTGGCGAGGCTGGAGAGGAAAGGAAGCCTTCCACACTGCTGGGGGGACTGTAAGCTGGCGCGACCACTGTGGAAATCAGAGTGAAGTGTCCTCGAAAGACTAAAACTAGAGATTCCACTGGACT